TTTTGTTTCAGTTCAGACCTGTAGACCTCCTAACTTAACACTGGCAATTACTATTATGCCCCAAAAAACCCAATACCAGTATAATGAGATAGTGACATTCAGCTGCAATGAAGGATATCAGCTCAGTGGAAAATCTGAAAGTCGCTGCAATGATGAAGGAAGATGGATTCCTGTTCCACCTTCTTGCAAAAGTAAGTTGCAGATATTTTGAGGAAAATTGTATATGGATTTGTCTACCACACAAGTAGAAGTCCCTCCTGTACTTTTCTGCACCACAGTACATCTCACCGCCTTGTTCATAGGTGAAATTCTCAGATGTTCATTTTTATTCATAGGTTGTCAACCTTTTTCATCAAGAAACCTGTTGCTGTTACCGTTAATTATCTGTAATTGGGCTTTAATTTGTGTGTTGCTTATTAAATTCCATTTAAAACTGTATGTTCATCTAGGACAACCCTGTCCCACAGAGCGACAATGCTGTAGTGTGATTTCACTGTAGAACAAAAACTTTTGTCACCCTATTACAAGAAGTGTAAAAATAAGAGATGTATTGGGAGCATCAAACGATAGTAAAACTGTTACAGAAGGAACTTACAAAAAGAAAACTGTTCTGTTAGTTCTGACAGAGTGCATCATATATGTCATTTTTGATCTTGCTCACAGCTGCACTTTAAATCATGCCCTCTACTGTGACAGCGGTTCTGGAAGGGAGTTACTCCTCCACCTTTATTCCCACTTCATGCCTACTTCACTGTTTCCATAGATGCCTCACACTTCTATCATGGATCATTTAGTCATGAACGAAGACTGTGCAGTGAGTGGTGCTGTACATAGCGCTGCCTGAAAAACAGACCAAAATGTACCCCACTTAATCTTGTTTAATGCTAAAAGACAGTTACCTTTTAATCATGTAAACATATTCTACTGCTGTATAGTTTTCACTGGGAGACTTTAGTTCTACTCAGTGGCGTAACAATAGCCAAAGCAGCCCACATGGCTGCTATGGAACCTGGGGTAGGAGGGGGGGGGGCCCATTGGGAGGCTGATTGCAAAAACTGAGTTGTGAGATTTCCAGTAAAGAAGAGCTGACTTCAGACCTCAGGATCCTCTAGTCACAGATCACCCTTTGTGCATACAGATTCTGCGATGCCATAGTGATGTAAGAAAAAAAAATCAATGTTACCAATTAGGTGGGTCAAAAAAAGGCAAGGTGTACTGTTATCCTCTGGTGTCTGATCTCAAATTGCTGGTAATTAGAGCCTGCAGCATTCAATATGCATGGCATTTTGCAGGTTCTGCTTCACTGAAAAGTAGCATGGGATGAACCTTTGAGAGAAACTACTGCTCAGGTGCCCCCCTCCACTGTTTTGTAGCTTTACTATGTTCGTTACCTTAATAAAAACTCACAGAAATTGTAAAACTTTTTCAGGAAACCTGCTGGATCCCTGAAAATTGTTTTATTTAATGAGCACACAAATATTTATTATACTTTTATCATGTTTAACCCCATACACCCACAATCCATATATTAATGTTCCCTAGCATGGTGCCCAGTGCCAAGCATAAATATACATTGTCAGCAGCATTAGTGTCTTCTAAAATTGGGTTTTAAATTTTGTTTAGAAAGTTTACTGGAAGATGGCACACAAATTAAAAAAGAACATTTTTTTCACTAAGGTGTAAATGAATATGTAAATATTTTGTAAAGCATGCCATGAAAAAGATCAGCACTGTTGTTGTAGTTACCATCTTCTGATTATGTGTGCTTTATGTGCTATATGATGAGCATTTTATGGGGCCTTGAGGAAGGGGACTAGGAAATGAACATATGATGGAATAGATTTATTTCATTTTAGGAGATACAGTAGCTATACATGTACACAGTATATTTTACACATTTTTTTCTGGTTTTTTTACATTTCACTTGTGACATCACTACACTCCCAGTGTTCACTTTCTCTTTCTTTTACAGCTCTCACGGAGCAATCTGTAATAGCATCCGAGGCCTGGGAGCTGATCATTTCAGCTCCTGAGCTAAGTGCTGAATGCCGGCTGTAAGCCAGCAGTTTCAGCGTTTGCACCCACCTGGACCCTTGGGAGTTCTATTTTGTGCCGGTTTGAAATGGTGCTGGGACAAATAGCCACTATCCCATCACTCCTATTGCAGCTCACCGCTGGTGAGGCATCGAGATTGATGTCCTCAGTGGGTTTTTCTTTTTTTTTTTGATTAGACAACTTGGACCAATGAGGCTTTGCCATTGGTCCAAACCATCCATAGGGCTCAAGCCTCTAACAGACTAGAGGCTGTTGCAACTCTTGCCTCACTAGGTTAGGTTATACAAGCAGTGGGGAAGTTCGCTGCTTCGTAACCTAACTTAGCTGTCAAAAGCCGGATGCAGCGCCGCCAGTAATTAACAGGCAGTGCTCCATCCATGACAGGTCACACAGCGGGGAGGCTTTTTCCTGCTGTGTAACCTGTTACCAGCCTGTCTGAATGGAGAACAAGCCGTCAGCTTCAGACTTGAAGCAGACAGCTTTTTCCTCCATAATACTAGCCTCCCCTGGCGCACGTCCCTGCCATATGGTCTAATTTGAGTAACAGCTTGGGGTCTGCTGGTGAGAACATCACATCCAAAAAGCACCCAGAAGCAGAGACGAAATGCCAAGCCTGTTGGATGTCTACAAAAAGGGAGACTTTTACAGGTACATAACATGCAAAAAATATATTATGCATATACTGTGTAAGCTTTTGGGAAGATTTTGGTTGAACTGAATGGCCTGGTAAGAGGGTCTCTTTAGTTATGATACATGATTCATACTATGAAGGGACTTAGGTTGTAAATGAAATACCTTAAGGTTCATTAGTTTGGACTATTACATTTTTACATGTTAATAAATCATATACAGAGTTTGAAATTAAAACGTACCATTTGTTTGTGTCAGAATAGAGTCTGTCAGAATATAGTGTCTGAAACTTACAACCTGACCTGGATGCATTGGCTGCAGCCACTTAGTAAATTAAGTTTAAAGGAGAACTATGAGGTGAGTGCTTTTCACTCACCTCATAGTTCTAGCCGACCTGTGACAATGAGACTGTCACAGGTCGGCTCAGGAGATCGGGAGGTGAGCGAACATATACCGGTTTCGCCCGCCTCTCGATCCCGTCACGGCTCTCTGCCGTGACAGGGGGAGGGGCTGGATTCCCCTCTCCCCGCTCCGATCTGCCAGCGCTGACTGGCGGAACGGACGGGGGAGGGGGCGGGTACAGCTGGCTCTGCCTCTAGATAGGCAGAGCCAGCTGTCACTCACACAGCTGGGCGGATCCCGTCATCTACGTCGGGATCCGCTCCGGCTGTGGCGTCTCAGTATACCGCGAGCTGTAGCTCGCGGTATACTGAGCTTAGGGTAACGGGAGGACGCTAGGTTGTGTCCTCCCGTTACCCTAAGGAGAACTATGGGGAAAAACACTGACCCCCATAGTTCCTTTAATGTTGATAAAGGTATATTTATGCATTTGGGAGATACAAATATGCATGCATCATACAATCTAGGGAAAGTCAAACTGGGTAAATGATAGAATGTCCTGGTAGATCATAGATTTAAAGTGACACTAAACTCAGGAGTTAAATCTTAAAAATACATTCAAGTACCTTAACTATTAACAAAAATGTATCTTATTTGTGTATTACTCAGCTGTAGATCCTCAAATCATCTCTGAATTGGTGCTGACACTGTCCTTCCTTCTGGAGGGTGGCTACTTTTGTTCCCCATTGTCTCTGTGTGTGTTGTAAAGTAGTCACCACACCAAGCTCTCTCTTATGATGGATTACAGTCACACATTTAATTTACTAATCTGTATTGTGGTTGAAATTCATCATGAAAGTAAAGGTGCCCATACACTGCTCGATTCTAGTTTGAGAATCGCGGGAAATCCCACGATCGTACGATAGTCGAGCAGTGTGAGCGAAGACGTGCGACCGTTTCTACTGTACGGTCGCACGTCTTGTGTAAGGAGCACGCTAGAAAACCAGCATCGTACGATTTTTGGCTGGTTTGAACGGTGCTCGGGAGACAAATGCCGAACGGGCCGGTGTGCACATGCGCACACTGCCCGTTCAGCATTGCGATCATCGGAAGCCCGCCCATCAGGGGGGCGGGCTTGCGATGATCGAGAGTACGATCTGCCTGTCCAAGATGGGCAGATCGTAAGTTTTTTTAATTACTTTACATCCATCGCAAGACTAAGGTCTTGCGATGGTTGTAAAGTGTATGGCCACCTTAAGCTTGGAGCAGTGGCTACGTAACAGCACACACATGGAGGCATTTATCAAAACTGGAGCAGACAAAATCTGGAGCAGCTGTGCATTGCAACCAATCAGCATCCACCTTTCATTTTCAAAGCTTAACTGAACATACTGAAAAGAGACACTGATTGGTAGACATAGTTACATAGTATTTGGGGTTGAAGACATACGTCCATCAAGTCCATAGGCAACTGCTCCAGATTTTGTCTGCTCCCGTTTTGATCAATTCCCCCCCATTATGTTTATCTGCAGCCTTTCGAATAGTTCTTAACTTTCTAGTTGTTTCTTTGAAGCAGGTTCACACATAGGATGTAAGCTATTGTGAACATTTCCGTGTGCAATTAGAGGGCAACTGAGAGAAAGTGCTTTAACATACACTCTCTGTACCACAAAAGTAAATCCGTTCTAAATAAAACATTAGCCTTGATGGGCATTGTCAGTGTATTTTGTTAGCCAGAAGTAACCAGATAATTGGTACTTCAGAAAAAAACAACACATTGAGCGAATGTAAACTTTTTTGCAGGTATCTGCCATGCACCTCCAGAACTTGAGTATGCAACACTGAACATTAACTATGACAAGACAACATTCTTTATTGGCGATAAAGTCCGTTACAATTGCAAAAATGGTTATTTTCGTAATCCTCAGGAAAACGCTGTTACTTGCTTGGGCAGTCTTAAATGGTCACATCCGGCGCAATTCTGTTCACGTAAGTATATGTTGTACTGGTTATTCTAAATTTGTGAGTTAAATCCAGTATTTAACATTTTGCATGCACGTTCATTCTGCTTAGAGTGGATTTATAATAAATAGCATTTAGTTTCTTTATCATTGGTATTTTGTGATTCAAGTTCTCAAAATTACAGCTCCTTCATTTTGATATACTTGTGATCTTTGAGTGTCATGTATGAAAGAAAAAGTGTTTAATAAAAACTAAATTATCTTCTAATGTTTAAATGAGAAATAACCCAACTAATCGCCATGTTTAATAAATACATCTTTTCTATTAGATACAGAGTGGAAAGGAAGGCTGTTAAAGGTTAACCTAAGGTGTGATAAGTGCATCTGACCAACAAAAATGCTTGCCATTGTGCAGAGATTTTCCAACTTGCTGGGAAGTGTCTGTGCGATTTAGCCAATCTTTCTTTAAGGTGTGGGGTTCTTCTCCCTGCAGGCTGGTTTGCCAACACAGCCAGGTCACCCATTCACAGATTCTTTGACAGGTTCTGCGAATGGAGAAAGTACCATCAGACATTGTGGTAGAGGGACTTCACCCTGACATCACTTGTAGTCCATTTGTTTTTCCTTCTGCCTCTGTCACTGAAATGTGTGCTATGATATGGACAGGAACAAGAGGGATAAACTGCAGGTGCTAGAGTATTGCACCTGTGATCCACTGATCACATGTGCAACACTTTACAGGCTTCAATGCCAAAAAATAATAATAAAATCCAATTTCAGAGTTGCAGTTGCCTGTCATGATGATGTTTAGGTTTTAAAGCTGTCCCAGAACAAGTATAGATAGGAGTAAGTCTGGCAATTTTCTGACACTCATTTACAGTATATGTTTTGGAGTCTGAAAAAATATTACTTAAATCAGACACAACAAGGCAACTGGTATTTTAAGAGTCCAGCAATGGCAGCAATGATTTTTCCTCTGTGTCACGTTACCATAAATGGAATACATTTGGGTAAATCAGAACTGAAGGACATGGGCATACTGATTAACAAACGTAGTAATACACTTAAACAATAGAAGTCTGGTATTTGCTCTCTTTGGTCTGTTAAATATACCATTGAAAGTATTTTGTCATACCTGTTTGATAAGTGACAAAATACCTGTTGATCATGTCAGAAATCCAGAGCTTTCCTAAGCACATTTCCTGTAATATCTCAAGGAGTCTATTTCGCTCTACTAGTTCTTATCTTGGACTACAGACTAATTAATGCCTTTGCTGTAAACATGGAAGAGTGGGAGGGTTTGAGTAGTTTAGCAAAAGACAACTGGACAGAGATAACACCATTCATTCCACAAAAATGTTATCAGCCCACAACAGGACTTGGCTGAATGCATTTCCGCAAATGAAAAGGTCTTTTTTTCTGTACTTGCAAGGTATTTAAAGGGGGGAAAAAACATGGCAGCATATGCACGCATTATAGAAATTGACTGCATGTAGTTTTTTTTTTTGCCTTGACTTTATTGACAAGCTGTGATAGCCAACAAATGCTAGTAAATGCTAGGTAAGTATAAAAAGTGAGTCAAAGAAGTATATATTATCAACTCTGTATAAAATAACTTGTATGGTCCCTGGGGTGGACTAGGCAGGGTGCAAGAGACCATTTACCCCCTGAGCAGGCATCTCAACCGGATATTGGTCCAGTGTCCTTGCACACAGACCTCTGTCAAAACAGGGTGCGCAGGCAATGACGGCTGCGCACAAGCTCCCTATCAGCTGTGATCAAAATGCTGGGCAGAGGAAGACATCTATTATTGATTGTGATTAAAGGTAATAAGCTATGGCTACAAGCAGGTCCAACTTGCTAAGATGTCTTGAGATTTTCCAGGTGGAACAGATTTTAAATATACAGTATATACTGTATATTGTAACAAACAGCTTCAGGGTCCAGGGCAGGTTATTTCATATGGTTAGAGATGGCTAGAGATTGCACTTTAGATTGGAAAGGCACCAGCAGTGTGTGTGTGTATATGTATACATATATGTATATATATATATATCCCCCTCCATCAGTCAATTCTGCTGCCTCCTTTTTTCAACTTCTCGGCTACTTATCAGTTACTTTTAGGGGTTTTACATTATATTTTAGTGGTTCTTTCGATAAACAAGACACAATTACATTGGAAAAGCTTAAGAGAATTCAGTGAGCTAAAACTGACAAATGTAGAATTATATTCTGTATAGTAAGTGATGTTAAATCACTGCTCCTTTAAAAATTTTATTTTTTAAAAGTGTTTTTTTCATTGATACATGTCCCCCAGGGCAGTACCCGGATCCCCATACACTTTTATGGCCAATAAATTGCATATAAGGCTTCAAAATGGGGACATTTAAATTTCCGAGTTCTACCCCCACAGACTTGCATTGAGTTCTAAGTTCGAGTTAGAACTTTTTCCATGTTCGAAAGTTCGAGTTAGAACCGAACACGGGGGTGTTCGGCTCATCACTATAGCTGAATAAATTACATTTTTGTGTTTATCATAGGCATAGCTTGTGGACCGCCTGAAAAAATACCTAATGCAGTATTTCACGCAAAAGACTTTTTGTTTGACTCTGAAGCAGTCTATACATGTTTTAAAGGGTAAGTTCAAGTTCAATGGTCTATGAACTATCCACATGATAGTATAACCCTCTATGGCACTAATATTTACAGAATAACCATCCTACAGACAGTTCTAGTTGTCAGGTTTGTTAAGGTGACTTCTTTGCATACGGAGACAAATCTCAGTAGGTACAAACACATTTTAATACAATATATTGAAACATGTTATCAGCATAATCATGGTACTTAATGGGTTAAATTTGGAATTCTTCTTTCATATTAGGGTGAGGTTAAGACTTAAAGTGGACCTTTACCCCCTGTGGCTAAAAATCACATCAGCATGCAGCTGATGTTGTGCTCAGTTAGAACTACAATGTAAGCGTGGAGACTACTTCTCCCACAATGCGTTGCTTCTTGTGCATGTGCTTCTGTGGGGAAACTTTCTACAATTCATTACTATTCATAGTTGCAACACCTCCACTGGCTAATGTTTGTGTTAGATAGAGCTTATGGGTTAATTTAGGGGATAAAATGCATTTCATTTGTGGGTTGGGTGAAGAAAGAGTAAAGAGTCAGGTTCTTGGAGTAAAAAAATAAATATATACCAGGGTAGTGGTAATACGAGAAACATTACGCATTAGACTCATCATTATATTTAAAACATAAATAAAATTGCAACAGTCTTATGTTTTGCATTTCTAACATTATACTTTGGTAAGAGGAGAGTTGGGCTTTAAATATTAAATAAGGAGTTTAATGTGTCATACAAGAAGTTTAAAGTGTATCTATGATCAAAATGTTTCTAATATCTTTTTTTTCTCCTGCTGGAGAGATTTCACTTCCTATCCCAGAAATGAAAAAGTGAGAGCAATTCTCTCCAAAACAGTGTTTCTTGACCACTTAAACAAGTGGTCCAGGTCAGGGGCGGACTGACAACACATGGGGCCCCCCAGGCAATACGAAATTATGGGGCCCCCTTGTGCCCTGCCCATATACAAGCCCCATCCATTCACAAGCCCCACACACATATACATCCTTGTGTTGCAGAAATAATTTCTCCACATTTAAAATAACAGGTCTAGTCACTAAAAGGTAAATTGCAGGGGAATTGATAGCAGAGTTTCCACATCTAGACCAACATAGGTGGTTTAGAATGGCAGAATTTTTCTGGTTTGGCTATTTTGACCTAGATTCTTTAATTCTGCCAATTATCCTGGGTGAATTACAGGAGAATTAGTAGGGGAATTGACTGGGGAGCTGAAGAATCTCAGACAAAATATCTAAACCAGAAGAAAAAAAATCTACCATTTAGTTCATTTTCCAAATTGTCAATACTAGTCTAGATTTTAAAATTATCCTGCAGTTCTACCAATTCACCCTTTAGTAAATACAGCTGTAAGTGTTTTAGTAAGTTAAAAAAATATAGAAAAATAAACTTACGACTAATGTCACTTAGTTAGCACAAACACACAGTATACTTTGGTCCTGTGTCAGAGCTGGAAAAACAGGGGATATTAAAAATCACAGGGCTGGTTGCAGGTCAGTATACGTTATTTGTTTAATTTTATTTATTTTTTTAATGCAAAAATGAGACAGTGGTCTCAGTCAAATATTAGGCTACTAAATGAGACAGTTGTCTCAATAGGCATGAAAACGGGATATTCCTTAAATGGGGCAGTAAGGAAAACAGTAAAAAATGTGCAATAGTACAGTACATTAACATAAATCAAGTTAGTCAGAGTGGAGGTGGGGGGCTGCATACTGTAAGCCCCAGAATGGTCAGTCCCCATGACCAGAAACAATACACAATAGACATTAGACCAGAACCAACACACAGCAGACATTTATCTTGTAACAAATTTCGTTTCACTGTAATGCTGGATTCTAACTCTATTTCCAGTGCTGATGGAATCCATGACTCTTGGTCCACATGCTGATCAGGACTAGTGTACAGTACTCCAGGAGCCAGAGATTTTCCATCAGAGCATTGCCAGTGTTGTGCTTTGTGACAGTTCCTTTTACTCTGAACATCAGCCCACATCTTATCATATTCCTAGGAGTCTGCTCACCATTTGTTCTTCCTGGAATAGATAAAACACTGGAGAATCTTGATTGCTGCACTAAGGGCCCATTCACATCACATCCAGATAATCTCCAGACCAGACTAGATTGTTTCCAGACCCAATATGCATCCCATGCTGTTTCTGGCCTCTGTTCACACCAGCGCATTCCGTTCCAGACCAGACCAGAAACATAATGCATGTCTCATTTTGTCTGGTGTGGAATGTACTGGAATGCATAGAAACGCATAAAAAAAACACATGGAACACACTGGAACAGACTGAAACGAGAGCCCATTTTAAGCTAAAAAAAAAAAAAACGAAAAAAAAACCTAGCTCCAGAACGCGGCAAAATCGTGGTAAAACTGTGGTCTTATCACGAGCTGCAGCTCGCGGTATACTGAGCTTAGGGTGATGGGAGGACGCTGGTTTGTGTCCTCCCGTTACCCTTAGGAGAACTATGGGTAAAAGCCCTAACCCCATAGTTCTCCTTTAAGCAGCATGAGTAATTATATTAGCATATGTTATTGAGATCTTGCTCTGTAACATTGAAATCCTATTTGTAACATTTTCTTCTAGATACAAAATGAAATTAGGGATCAATTCCAGAAAATGCTTGGCTACCAAAATGTGGAGTGCTCCTGTCCCAGAATGTGAAGGTAACAAGTTCTATAATGTTTTATGTTAGTAGAAATGAGTTAAAAATTTACACATTAAAATGACTGAGACCGTAAACAATAAGAAATCATTTTCTAGAATCTGGAGAGCAAAATTACAAAGTCTGTAAAGTATAAACAGAACAACCAGCAGCAAAAGAAAAAGAATCTCATATAAATTGCAACAGAGCAATGGACAGAGCTGGGTTGTTTGATGGTCCCAACCATCTGCATGCATGTGAAAATGCTTGTAGGGCATGCATTTGTACATAAACTGGAATTGCGCCCAACATGTTCGATATTGCCATGAACGTCGGAGTGAAAGCAAATATTCTAGGCCCATAATTAGCTTTTAACTCTAAATTGATGTTCTTACCCTTCTTT